GCGGGGGAATGGGGCAGGGGCGGGGGCGTACTGGCCTGGTGAGGGGGCAGGGGGGCGGGGCGTGTACCAGCCTGGTAAGAGCGTGGGGAGGGAAGGGATGCATAATGACCAGTACCGGCCTGGTGAGAGCATGGGCAGGGGTGTGTACCAACCAGTACCGGCCCAGTGAGAGGGGCAAGGGGGGGCATACTGACCAGTGCTGGGCTGGTGAGAGGGCACGCAGGACATAACTTTTGCTGGCCTGGTGAGACCATTCGGGGGTGGGGCAGCATTGGTTGGGGAGGGCAGGGAAGGCCAGACGAGGCCCTACCCAGTCATAGTAGAGAGAAGGGCAGGTGGGGTTATCCCAGGTTGGGGATGGGAGGGGGAGTGTTTCCGTTCGGGGCCCCTCTGACCCCTCTCCCCCGTGTGCAGACACTGACCCTGCCCGAAGGGACTCTGCACTGGCCCGGCGGCTGCGGGAGAACCGCGAGGTGGCGCTGACGCGGCTGGACAGTGTCGTCTCGCGCTATGCCCAGCTGCAGGACGAGAGCGAGGAGGAGGAGCGTGTCCGCAAGAGAGCTGCCCAAGCCCGTGGCAGCGCCATCCCCCGGCAGGAGGGGCTGCTGCCCCCACCCTGCCCCATGGCGCCAGACCCAGGGGAGGGGCAGCCCCAACCGCAGGTGAGGTGGGGTGCATACAGCTCCCAAGCTGTGCCATGTGCTTTGCCCAGCCCCCTGCGTGGGGAAGGGAGTACTTCGGCTCCTGGGCTGCCTGGCGTGAGCTGTGCCCTGTAGCTGCACAGCACTTGACAGCAGGGCTCCCAGCGTGGGAGAGGCTGTGGGTGGGGGTGGGGGTAGGGAAACGAAGGGAGTTTGTAGACAGGCCTGTGGGGACACAGCTGGCGTTACGCCCCTTTCTCCACCCTCCCCAGGGCAGCCCCAGCACAAGCGCCACAAGCCAAGGGGCACTTGCGGTCAGTGAGGAGGATGACGATGACTCGGAGGAGGAAGAGCCCTCATCAGACACAGACATTGAGGAGGAGCTGCAGCAGAGCCAAGAAGGTGGGGAGGAGGAAGAAGAGGATGCAGCCATGCAAGGTACGTACCGCACAGAGCCAGGACTCCTGGGTTCTATCCCAGCTCTGGGAGGGGAGTGGTGTCTAGTGGGTAGAGCAGGGGGGCACTGGGAGCCAGGACTCCTGGGTTCTGTCCCTGGCTCTGGGAGGGGAGTGGTGTCCAGTGGGTTAGAGCAGGGGGGCTGGGAGCCAGGACTCCTGGGTCCTAGTCTGTGGTGACTCTCCTAGATGCAGAAGCAGCAGGTGAGGACACGGCAGGGGACCAGGAGGACCAGTGCATGGAGTTGGGCCTGGAGCCGGGCCTGGAGCCACTGCCATGCTCGTCAGGCGGGGAGGATCTGGAGGACGAGGATGAGGACGATGAGGAGGACGAAGAAGAGGATGAAGATGAGGAGCCCCTGCCCCTTGCAGAGGGCCAGGGGCCCCCGTCCCCCAAGGAGGAGGAGGGGCCACCATTCAGCCCGGTGCAGGAGCTGTTTGTGCTGGAGATTGAGGCGCTGCCCCTGGAACTCAGCGAAACACCACCCCCCTCCCCTCAACTCCCAGGGGGCTCTGAGGCCACCCCAAAGGCTGCCCCCTTGTCCCCAGAGCCCTCTGAGGCCACCCCACTGGGCCCCGCCTCCCCTGAGACGGTCTTTTCACGGACTGAGCAGGAGGTCTCCCTGAAGGAGCCTGCTAGTTTCGCGGTGAAGCAGGAGGGAGGTGGCATGGGGGACTCCGGGCTCCGGACTCAACCCCCTGCCAAGAGAAGGCAGCTGTCTGTCCCCAGGAGCCCCCTTGCCCGGCCCTTGGAGAACGGGGGCAGCATGATCAGCTCCACCAGCTTCAACGGCAGCGCTGGGCCCCCAGCCTGCAAGAGGGGACGCCAGGAGCTGCCCTGTGGCAACAGGTGGGGGCAAGGGGAGACAGGCCAGGCCAGGCAGTGTGTGAGGTGGGGGGAGCTGTGTGTGACAGGTGAGGAGACGGCAGGGGAGAAGGAACGGGGCTCTGCACATCAAGGAGGGGATGCTGGGCTGGAGCTGACACTGTGGGTCCCTCCCTTGTCCTGCTCCTGACTGGGAACTACAGCAATGGGTGTGGGGGTCTTTGCATGGGGGGCCTTGGGGGGGCAGTTACTGTCCGGTATGGTGGCCACTCCAGCCCTTCCGTGTCCAGCCATCCCCAGCGGGTGAAGGGGGCTGGGAGTAGAGCCTGTTCCAAGGGGCCCATGGGTTCAAGAACCATCTTCCCTCTTGGACTGCCAGGGGGAGGGTGGGCCCTGGTGTGGGGGTGCAATGCAGGAGAAGGAACCCTGCCCCTGGTGTGATGGGCTGACTCCAGGTGCCACCCCATGCTGTCCCCTCCCCCATGACCCCATCTCTCCCGCCCTTGCCAGCAGCTGCCTGGAGGTTCACAGCATCGGCTCAGAGGATGAGGACTTGGAGCTGCCGCTAGATGGCCTGCTGCCCCGCAGCCCCCTGCCTGACTCCACCCGTGCCGATTCGCCCTTCCAGAGCTTGGTCAGCAGCTCCCAGGGCAGCCCGCAGCTGTGCCAGCGCCTCTTGCCCAAGGCCTGCAAGGTGAGGGGCTGGCTGAGATGGGGGGTGAGTGGGGATGCCAGTTTGGGTGAGAGGTGGCCTGACCATGTGTCCCTGCCCTGCTCTCTCCCCAGACCAGCGTGGCGACTCAGTGTGACCCGGAGGAGATCATCGTTCTGTCGGACTCGGATTAGACCCCCTGCCTGCCCAGGGGGGCTGGAGACTCTGGGGGGCAGGGAGGGTGACAGGGTTGGTTTGTGGCTGGTTCTGGGGTGGGGTTAAGGGGGTGGAGCAGAGCCCTCCCCATCTCCTGGGCTGCCCCTCCCTCTTTGTACAAAAGAAATGTTTAAAAAACAAAAAAAAACCCAAAAATAAAATCTTTTTCTTACTCACCGGCTGCTGGCTCTGGGCTGTGACTGAGCTGGGGGGCAGTAAAGGGATATGGGGTGGGGGAGCCTGGGGGGGCAGGTGGTTCTGTGGGGGGAGGGGAGGGGTCTGAGCTGGGGGGGCAGTAAGAGGACATGGGGGGAGCCTGGGGGGTAGGTGGCTCTTTGGTGGGAGGGGACGGGTCACCAGTGCAGCAATCTGGGCCTCAGTTTCCCCATCT